TCTCTCTCTCTCTCTCTCTCTCTCTCTCATCTCTAACTTTCTATAGGATACTGCATGTGTCGTCCAATAGTCTAGTAAGAAAAGAGGTTAATTAACAAAAAGTAATACAGAAACTTTAATTGAATGAGCAACGCCTGTCTTCCTAAATCATTTCCAAATACCCACATGATGAAAAACGCGAACAAAAACCTCTTATCATTTCCTACACATTCTCACTATTAAAACGTTAAACGCACACCACCATACACTTTGAGCTGGGGCAGAGAAATTTCATAGTAATTTTTGTGGTGAACTACAGCTGTTCGTCAAATAACTTCCCACAGAACTACTCTCAGCTGCGAAGTCAGTTTACACAGAACAAGCGGTCACCTCACATAATCATTTGTTTTAATTAACCCCTAGCGCCTGTCTGTAAAATATGAATCAGAATAAAGATTAATCACATATGTGAGACCTTCTGTATGCATAAAAAACAAATAAACACGTATTATGTTGATAAGGCATGTTGATAGTATACAATGCTATCTTTTTTTTCTCTCTGCTTTCTGCTGGAAGACTGATAGTAAAGCAGTGGGACATGTACTATGTGCTGTTATCCCCCCCCCCCTCCGCCCTGGAGCTGTTTCTTATTTCCAATTCTTACCTGGTGTAAAGCTACAAATAGTATGAAGTCGTGTCTTTGAGTCCGGGTAATCAGTAAACTAAGCTTATGATGAGCACATAATGACCGGTAGACCCTACAGAAATGTGCTGTTAGAAGCGAAGGTATCATATATATCATACGTACTTATAACAGTATGTTTATCCCACTCATTATAAATATTGATTCAAGAACCTGCTCTGATATGAATCAAACAAAAAATGTGTACAATGTATATTATGCTACAAGTTCAACTTCTTTACTTTCAGTCTTCCAGTTGAGAGACAAATGATTTAAGGTAAGATCTAAACTTGAATACCTTCCACATCGATGGTCAACATTTGTAAAGGTTATTCCACGTCAACACGGGTTTGCTCAAGAGGTGACTTAATTATTGTCACTAGATAATCTTTCCCGATTCATGTTTCTTGTTTCTCTCTGTGAATCACAACTTGTTGGAAAGAATATGAGTAAAGGTATATTTTAATTTCATTAAATGTGTTTTTGTGGTCACATACGTAAAAATCAGTTGCACAGCAGGGTGAAGAACCAGCAGTCGACTACCTCTGAGGTCTAGCACAGGAACGCAAAGAGGATGATACTCGCAGTTTATTGTTCTCTTTTAAATGATTCAACTTTGTCTCTTAAAGTACGTAGGCATGATTTTTTCCTCCAACCACAATCCTTCATAAAGTCGACTACGTTTTGTATCTGTACTCAAACATGTATAACATTAACAGCCACAATCGTTTGCTCCGTAATGCAATTTTAAGGATAAAACAGAGATCACAGTCAGTGTTTGGTACAAGTAAGAAAAGAACTTCGTTTCGTACAAAATCAGCAACTTCACACAAACACTGAGGGTGGTTGGTGGGTGCTCTGATGTGGTTTGCTCCTTCTATCATATCAAACATCTGTCGTCCTTATCTCACCCCCTTCTTTTCTTTGTATGTTATTTAGTAGTACCTCTTATCTTTGATATTTATATTAATTGCTCTTATTGTATTGCAAGTGCCGCGAAACTCTCTCACTAAAAAGACCAACATTGTAATTGTTATTGTCTCTCAACAAGTCTCGGGTCATAGGTCGTGAAACATGGTCGGTTCGTGCTGCGCCCAGGAGTGGGTGTTTGGTTTTCCCATGCTTGTTAGATCGATTTCCCAATGCAGGGCTGTCAGACTCAATCGGTCATGGGGCCAAACTCAAATTACACTTCTGGTTGCGTGCCGTACTGGATGGACACTTATTGAGCAGTGGAAATAAAAAAAACAACAACAATTGATGGATTAAAACTTTTAAAAAGTTAAAATAGTAACAAATGAAGGCCAATTAATTTTCGCTCTATTGGCAGTTTGTTAGAGCTGGATGTTTGGTATCTTTTCTTGATATCAAGTTCGTTTTTATTTGGAGTAAGGTTCTGTGTTATACGCGGTGCCCACTACAGCTGGATTGGGCCGATCGCCTGACTCTGTCGCGTGAAACTTAAAACAAACACGTTTGTTTTTTAGGGGACCGAGTCAGGCGATGGGCCCGGTCGTCCGATCCCATCCCGTATTATGGAGTTTCTGAAGATGGACTGCCAAAAATTATCTCGGGGGCCGGATATAATACAACTGAGTCACAAGGGTTGTAAAGTATGGGTTGTAAAGTATAGTCGAACCTGCTCTAACGGACACCTGCCTGTATAAGACAATCACTTGTACAACCAACCACTCCCCCCCCCTCTTGCGTTTTTAATGATACCATACCGACACTGTATATGATGTTCACCTGTCTAAGATGACCATTTTCTTCTCGACAATGGGAGGTCGTCTTAGACAATTTCGACTGTACATCGTCTGTACTTAGAGACAACGTGTGAAATATAGGAATCCGAAATATCTATGCAATCACGTTATAGAACAGTGTGGCGGTCATATCGGGTGATTTGAATAATCTCCTTGAGCATGAGCTTCTTGGTGGGTCGGTGGGTTGGGGGGGGGGGTGCAATTGAAGGGGCGCTGATGCAAAGGGGAGGCGGAGGGGAGGCATAGTAGATGAAGCGACGGATATGATAGGAGGGTGGGAGGGGTGGGGTTGGGGCAGGGTTTGTTTATTAGCTGTAGTTTATAGTGATTTTGTAAGATAACGGCGAGCTTTCATATCGTATGGCATTACAAGACACTAGGGGTTAGGGAGGGTGCGTGTCAAGGATCTTGCTTTTGATTGTACTTATTTTGTATTAGTTAGGGCGTTATTCTTCCAGCAAAACAACAACAAATGCAGCAGCTACGACAAAAAGACTTACAGCAACAATAACAGCAACAACAACAGCAACAACAACAGCAATGGTAACAATAACAACAGCGAAAAATCATTTGGTTTAAAATCCTATCTGCCCCCCCAAATATCCCGCGAGTAAACATTTTGTAACCAAAATTTGACTATATAAAATCAACAGATGAAGGAAAAAGAAAAAAAAATGCGTGTTTGTTTTAACTTTCAGGCGACCCAGCGTAGTGGGCACCGTGTATAACACACTGAACCTTACTCCAAACAAAAATGATTTTTTTTTTTTTGGTGCAGCCCACAATAATTTCTCAAACTCGAAATAAATTCAGAAATAGACTATATAATTATCTAAAAAATAATTTTTATCATCTGATTTCTTTTGCAACAGAAAATTTCCTGTATAATTGAAAGCTTCTGGTCAGAAGATCAGGAGTTAATCACAGAACACGTTCTAGATGGTTCAGAGAAGATAATAACAGGACAGGTTCAAGCAGAGGTCTGAAATCAAGACAAATTGATAGCTTGGGAGTAAAGAAGCCTTGCGTTATTCTACCGCGAGATGATCCGATAGATAATTCTCTCCAGGTTGTCTCACAAAATGAGATCTGGAGGTATTTCTTATAGGCTCAGTCTCATGTAGCAGTAGAAAGAGAGGAATACGGCTCCGAAAACAGAAGACGTATTTTCCCTTTTTACGGACAAAGGTGCTCACCTATACGCGGCGCTGTCTCTACTCAAGTCTGATCATGTTTGTGTGTGTGTGAGTGTGTGTGTGTGTGTGTGTGTGTGTGTATGTGTGTG